ATTTACTCCCCACAAAAATGTTGCTCTGCTAAAGCTCCATCTTTCAGTACTTTATGCTTTTAATAACTATGGTGAATATTCTACCATAAAGCCCCCATTGGTTGAAATGTAATGGAATGACACTAATATCTTTAAGAAAATTAAAGCCAGCAAAATATTTTTCAGATACCTGTGTAATCATTTTAGTCTAACAGCAGTCCTTCCCTAGAAAATCTTCCTTCAAAGATAAGGTAAATTTTGAGCAAATATTGTGGAATGGAATTTAATTGATACACTTAGATTTCTAAGGACAAAGAAAAAAAGAAAAGGTATTTAGAGCAACACTGCAGTAGGAAATGTATTTTTAATTCTACAAAATATCCCATGATGCTATAGATCCTTTTAAAAAAATGCAATCCTTGATTATGCATATGTATTTTCATTATTATTCAGAAGTAAAATTTTTACCTACATGTCATTAACGGTGGAGTCAACAGTGGCTGACCTAACTATGCTTGCTTTTGGAAGAAGGGAGGTGGTGGAGTCACCATCCCTGGAAGTCTTTAAAAGACGTTTAGATGTAGAGCTTAGGGATATGGTTTAGTGGAGGACTGGTTAGTGTTAGGTCAGAGGTTGGACTCAGTGATCTTGGAGGTCTCTTCCAACCTAGATGATTCTGTGATTCTGTGATCCTGTGGTATATACATGTATATGTCATGCATACATATACCTTGCATTCAGGCATTAATTGAATGGTCTGTTTTCTAGGACATGTGTCTACAGCACCAGGAAACAACTGTTTCCTGTGACTTAATCTGTAGAAGAAAACAAATCCATAAAGATTTTTCATGAGACAGGCTACTGTCATATGCATTTGGATCCAGGCAGATAATTTAGATTTACTTAGACGACTGTAATCCAAAAGCGGCAAGTTTGGAAATAAATAAGAAATCATTTATTTTACGGGAGAAAACCATGACTTTTCAAATGAAATTTTCAAATATATTTGCAGCTTGTGGCATCAAAGGAAGGGCAGGACCTTCGGGAAAAAAAAAAAAAAAAAAAAAGCTACTGCTTGATTGCAGCTATCCATCTGGCCTCAACAGCCACTCTTTGCTTTTTAATGGATACAAAATGAGAATGGTGCACCAAGTTCTTATCAGTGCTATCCTTCTGCAGGTGTACAGTGCTAATGAAGATGGAGATTGCAGCCAATCATTCTTTAGACTGTCAGCACAGGAGAGCATCTCTCACTTGCAAAGCAAAAATGTATCACTGGCCACCACTGAGAAGAGTTTGGCCCCATCCTCTTTACATCATCCCCTCAGGTATTTGTAGAGTTTGGTAAGATCCTCTCTCAATCTTCTCTTTAGGCTAAACAGGCCTACCTTGCTCAGTCTTTCCTCATAAGACAGATGCTCCAATCCCTTTATCATCTTCATGGCTCTACACTGGAACCTCTCTAGAAGTTCTGTATCCCTCTTGTTCCGGGGAGCCCAGAACTGCATACAATATTCCAGGGGTGGCCTCACCAAAACTGAGTAGAGGGGGAGGAACACCTCTCTCAACCTGCTGTCCACACTCCTTCTGATGCAGGCTAGAATCCCATTGGCCTCCTTGGCCACAAGGGCACACAATACATCTGATAGCATTGTCCAAAATCTTCTTGAATTCCATTGAGCTTGGTGCCTGTGGTGATTTTACTCAGCTGAGCAGCCGAGCTCCAGCACAACCACTCTCTCAATTGTCCTCCAAGGGAAAGAGGGATAAAATGCAATGAAAAGGGCTAAAGGCCTGAGATAAGGACAGAGAGATCACTCAACAATTATTGTCAAAGGTAAAACAGACTCAGCACAGGATGGTTAATGTAATTTATTACATATTACTAACAAGCTAGAGCAGTGAGAAACTAAAAACAAACTAAAAACACCTTCCTCCCACTGTAGTGGGTTCACGTGGCAAGGTTTTGGTAGCAGGGGGCCATAGGGGTGGTTTCTGTGAGAAAGATCTAGAAGCTGCCCCGTGTTTGGGTAGGGCCCAACTGCTGACCCGATCTGAGCCACTAAGCGATGTTGTTTTGTGCCTCTGTGAGAGCATATTTAAGACAGGGACCAAAAACCGCTGCGATACACAACAGCTGGGAGAGTGAAGGGAGTGAGGAACGGCACCAAGGTCAGTGTAGAAGGAGGGGGAGAGGTGCTCCAGGCGCCGGAGCAGAAGTCCCCTGCGGCCTGTGGTGAGGCCCATGGTGAAGCAGGATGTCCCCCTGCAGCCCATGGAGCACCACGGTGGAGCAGGGTTTCACGCTGCAGCCCGTGGAGGAGACCACGGTGGAGCAGGTGGCCCTGCACCGATGGAGGCTGCGGCCTGTGGAAGACCCCTGCCGGAGCAGATTCCGGGCCGGACCTGTAGCCCGTGGAGAGGAGACCACGCAGGAGCAGGGGGTCTGGCAGGAGCTGCTGCCCGTGGGGGAGCCAGGTTGGAGCAGTTTGCTCCTGAGGGATGGACCCCGTGCTACGGACCCATATCTGGAGCAGCTCTGGAAGAGCTGCTGCCTGTGGGAAGCCCACGCCGGATCAGTTCGTCAAGGACTGCATCCCGTGGGTGGGACCCCACAGCACAGGGGACGAGAGTGACCGAGAAGGAGCGGCAGAGAAGAAGTGCTGTAGACTGACCCTAACCCCCCTTCCCCCGTTCCCCTGCGCCGCTCGGGGGGAGAGGTGGAAGAGGGTGGATGGGGGGGGGAAGGTGCTTTTGGTTTCTTTCCTTTGTTTCTCACTTCTCTCGCTTGTTAGTAATGAGCAATAAATCTTACTGTCTCCCTATGCCGAGTCTGTTTTGCCTGTTACAATAATTATTGCATGATTTTCTCGTCCTTATCTCAACCTTTGAGCCCTTTCACATATTTTCTCCCCATTCCTCTTTGAGGAGGGGGAGTGAGAGAGCGGCTGTGGTGGAGCTTGGCTGCCCACTCGAGCGGAACCACGACACCCACACGTCTTTGACATCCTACCCTCACAAGCAATACAGCAGAATGAAGAATGGGACTACAGTCAGTCCGTAACACTTTGTCTCCACCGCTCCTTCATGATTGGTCTCTGTCCCTGCTCGACATAGGGTCCCTCCGAGGGGTCATGGGGGGGGTCAGAGGTCACGGGGGGGGGCCACTCACCGGGTCCCTTGCCCGTGAGGATGACAGGGGGGCTGAGCACCCAGCAGGTCCTGGAACTGGGCTGGGGGGGGCAAAATGGGGGGCATATAAGGGGGGTAAAAGGGGGGGGGGGGGTCCCGTTATTGGGAGGGCATGGGTTTGGGGGGGGATTTTGGGGGGGGGACTGAATATTGAGGTGCCCATTTTGGGGCAGTCCCTGATTACTGGGGGGGGGCATTGTTGGGGGACTCCCCTCGTTTGGGGCCACTTGGAGAAGATCCCATTATTGGGGGGGATAAATAACGGGGGATACCCATTTTCTGGGGGGGGGGCCCTGACTTGGGGGGGGGGCTCAGGGGCGCTCACCCTCCTCGGGGGCGGCTGCGGCCCAGGCTCCAGCGCCGCCCATTCCTGGAGAGAAAGGGCCCAAAGGGGGTGGGGGGGCATTGGGGGTTGGTGGCGCCTAAATTTTGGGGAGGGGGGGTCACAGGGGTTGGGGGGGCACAGCATGAAGATGGGGACCACCTCAGGCACGGGGGAGGGGGTTTGGGAAGGGGGGGGTCCTAAATTTTGGGGGGGGGGTCACAAGGGTGAGGGGGGGTCCCCGTTTACACCCTGTGCGCCCACCCAGGCTGGGGAGCGGGGATTTGGGGAGGGCCTTGAGGGGGGTCCCAAGGTTGGAGGTGGTCCTAAATGTGGGGGGAGGGTCCCAAGTTTGAAGGGGGGGGGGGTCCCATTTTCACCCTGTGCCCCCCCCCCAGATCAGGAGGGGGAGTTGGGGAGGGCTTGGGGGAAGGATGTGGGGGGGGTCCCAAGGGTTTGGGGGGGATCCCTGGGACTTGGGAGGGTTCCACAGATTTGGGGGGGGGTCCTAAAAGTTGAGGGGGGGGGCCTAAGGTTTGGGGGGGGCCCATGTTCACCTCGTGCCCCCCCCCCCAGGCCCCGATGATTCCCCTGGGGGCCCTGGTGCCTGCGCGGTTCCTGACGCTGATGTCCCACCTGGTGGGCCTGGGCATGGTCGCAGGGGCAAGGGTAAGGGATCAAACGCCCCCCCCCAATAAAACAGCTCCCCCCCCCAATAAGCACCCCCCCCCCCCCATGAAAATTAATGGGTTTTTATCCAGCTTTAATTAATTGCCCGCAGGACACCCACAGTCCGCGCCTCACTGCCCGTCGAGTTCTCGGCGGAGGAGTACGCGCGTGTCAACACCGAGACCCCAAAATGGGGGCCTGACCCCCCCCCAAAGACCCTGCCCCCCCCATGGGGACACTGAACCCCCCTCCATGGGGATCCCAACACCTCCATGGAGACTCCAACATCCCCACGTGGTACCCTGACCCCCCCCCCCCAAAGACCCAGACCCCCCCAAAGGGATCCTGACCCCCCCCCCCCTAAGGACCCCAATACTCCTAAAGGGATTCTGACATCCCCCAAAAACCTTCTGTGTCCCCCCCCAAAACCCCATGTACACCCCAAAAAAAACCCATCCCCCCCAAACCCCGTGTCCCCCCCAAAAAGACAGTCTCCAAAAACCTCCATGCTCTCCCTCAAACCCTGTGCCCCCCCAAATCCCCATGTACCCCCAAAGAAATCCATGCCCTTCCCACAACCCCTCTGTGCCCCCCCAAAAAAACATATCTCCCCCCAAACCCCTGTACCCCTCTAAAAGAAAGCATTTCCCCTCAAAAACCTCATTTACCCCCCCCAAAAAAAAACAGGTAACCCCCCAAAAAATTCTGTGCCCCCCCCCCGAATAAACCCTATGTCCACCCCAAAAACCCTGTACTCACCCCCAAAAAAACCATGTACCTTACCAAAACTCCCCCCCCCACCCCCAAAAAAAACAACACGGCCTCCACCCCCCTCCAGGCTGCTGTGCGCCCTGGGGTTGGCTGCGGTGCTGCTGGCCATCGAGTTTGGGGGTTTCTTTATGGGGGTGTCCATGTTCCACCGCGGGCAGGGGCTGTTCTGTATCCTGCACCCTCGGGGGAGGGGGGGGGAGGGGGCGCAAAAAACTGGGGGGGGGGGGAGACAAAAAATGGGGGGGTCTCAAGAAATGGGGGGAAAGAAATAATGAGGGAGATGGTGGGGACAATAGGGGGGAAATGTGAAGTTTGGGGGGGGGGGTAAAATATGGGGAGGGCATAAAAAACGGGGGGGCTTGAAAAATGGGGGGGGACACACCAAAATGGGGGGGGACCCTAAAACATTGGAGGGGGGAGAATTGGGGGGACCCCTAATTATGGGAGACACTCCAAATCCTATGGGCTCCCAAACCAACTTAGGGGGGACATCCCAAAGTGGGGTGGGGAATGGGGCGGGGGGGGCCCCCCCGAGTTGTTCTCCTTGACCCCCCCCAGCGGTGGGGGCCCACGCAGCGGCCTCCATCACCCTGGGCCTGGCCCTGATGGACGGCTGGGACCTGGGGGGCTTCTGGCTGCTCCTGGGGCTCTGCAGGTGGGTGAAACAAGCCGGAAGGGGGGGCCCTAAGATTGGGGATCCCCCCCCCCAAAAAAAAAATAACCCCCCCCTTTTCCCCATTTTCTCCCCTTTCCATCCAGTGCCCCCCCTGCCATCACCGAGCTGCTGCTGCTCCCGGCCGCGCTGGGCCGCGGGGGAAGCTGTGAGCGGGGGGGGGGGCCGTGATTTGGGGAGCGGGGGTCCCCGTGGTGCCCCCACCCACGCCCCCCCCAGGTCCCCATAAAGGACCGAGCGGACGCGGAGGGCGCCTGAGGCCAGGCCCACCGCACCGAGACCACGCCCCCGACTCGGTCAGCTCGCCGCTCAGCCACGCCTTCATGCAAATGAAGCAGCGGTGCACGCTGGGAGAGCGGCGCGGGGGCGGTTTCTCACCGTTTTAACCGTTTCGCGATCCTTTTTCCCCGTTTTTAGCCCGGCCCACCGGTTGTGGGAGTTTCGTTTTGTTGGTACTGAGTTGGGGAAAAGAAAAAATAAATAAATGAATAAAGTTGGGTTGTCGCTGTTTCTTCAATGAGAGTCGCGCAGTGTCTGGTGCCCCACTCTCAAACCCGTAGGAATCGCCTTGGCGGTATTTTTGTCCCCTTAGCACTGCGGTTGCACGCGGCAGCCTCCGTTACCATGGGCTTGGTCCTGTCGGAGGGCTGAGATGCGAGCCCCTTTTTGCGTGCTCCTGGGGTTTTGCAGAGTGGGTGAAAGAAGCTGAGGGCGGGGGGAGTCTAAGATTGGAGACCCCTCATCGGAAAAGAAGCTTGGGGCGGGGGGGGTCTAAGATTGGAGACCCCTCATCCGAAAAGTTTCGCACCACCCCGCACCTCCTAAAAAAAATTAATCCATTTTCTCCCCTTTCTATCCAGTGTTCCCCATCCTCTCACCCGCACGGGGCCGCAGGGGAATGCTGTTAGCGGGGGGGCAAAAAATGTTGGGGGGTCAATGTTTTTTTGGGAGGGGGCCTGTTTTGCCCCCTCCCCCCCCCCAATTCCGTTTTAACCGTTTCGCGATCCTTTTTCCCTGTTTTTAGCCCGCCCACCGGTTGTGGGAGTTTCGTTTTATCGGTACTGAGTTGGAAAAAAAAAAAAAGTTGGCTTGTCGCTGTTTCTTCAATGAGAGTCGCGCAGTGTCTGGGCCCCCACTCCCAAGGCCTCGGGTATCGTCAGTGCGGTACATCCTGACCTGCCCCGCTCCGGCGGGCAGTGCGTGATGAGCGGAGCGTGATGACGTGTGATTACAGTCACGTGGCGCGGGGCGTGCAACACCCCGTGGGCCCCCTCTGATGGCACGCGCTGCGGGGCGGGGAAAGGCGCTGCCATGGCGGTGTCGTGGGTCTTCCACGCGCAGGTGCGGCTTCTGCGCGTAACACCTGTTACTGTTACGTTTATCACCCTATAACTATGTATGGAACGTGCGGTGACCCTATGTAAGCATTTATAAGCAAAATTAAAGCACGCTCCTATTTCGCAGCAAACCTCGTTCCTTCAGCAGCCCCCGCGCAGCCCCCGCTGCGTGAGAAGCGGGCCCTCCGCTCCCATTGGCTGGAGGCGCGCTAAAAGCGCCTCCTGATTGGTCCCTTGCTGCTGTTGCTAGGCAGAACGCGGCTCACTCACAAAATGGCGGCCGCGCCCGTCATTGAGGCGCTCGGCCCGCCTCCTCCTCGCTCTGATTGGCTGCCGCTTCCTGCGGTGACGGCCGCTCCGCCCTTTCTGCTGCCTTTCACTAGCGGCGCTCCTGGCCCCGCCCAGCAGCGCCGCACCAACCAATCGCAGAGGTGTGCGGCCGGAGGGGCGGTGCAGCCAGCCAATAAGCAGCGAAAGCTCGGCGGGAGGCGGGGCGAAGGGGGAGGACGGTGCTGCCCTGCGCTGCGCTGACCAATCAGCGGGCGGCGAGCGGCGGGCAGCAGCCAATGGGAGCGCGGGGGGGAGATTTGAAGTAGAGCGGCGGCGCTGAGGGGGCAGAGGGCGGGCGGCTGCGGGTGAGCGGCGAGGGGGGCCGGGCCTGCAGGTTTTTTTTTTTTTTTTTTTTTTTTTTTTTTTGGGGTTCTGGGGAGCTGTTTGGGGGTTTTAAGGCGGTTTTAAGGGAGTTTTGGGAAGCTGGAGGTGGGTTTGGGGATGCCGGGGGGGGGACTTAGGGGGCCCCGAGGCGCCCTGAGGCGCCCTGAGGCGCCCTGAGGCCTGTTTCGGGGTCCTGGAGAGGATGTGGGGGGGTTCTAGGGCGATGTTTGTTGGTTTTAAGGTTTTTTTATGGGTATTGGAGGTGGTTTGGGGGTTGGGGGGGGTCCTGGGGGGTGTTTTGAGGCTGTAGGGAGGTCTTGGAGACTGTTTTGGGAGTTCGGGGGGGCTGAGGGGGGTGTTCGGGGGATTCTGGGGGGGGGTGTCCTGGAGGTGGTTTTGGGGTCTACCGAGGGGATTTTGGTGTCTAAGGGGAGCGAAAGAGGGAGAATTTGGGGTCTGGGGGGTCTTCTGGGGCTGCCTGAGTGGGATTTAGGGGGTGCAAAAACGTTGGGGGGGTGGGCACAGGAAGACTTTTGGGGTACCTCTGCTCCCCTGTTCCAGGATGGCCTACAAGGAGAACGTGAACCCCGGCTTGTACGGCCTGCTTAAGGTACACCCCCTCCAAATAAAAACCCTCCTTTTTGGGGTGCCCCAAACCCCCTTCCAATTCCCCCCTTTTATTTTTCCCCAGCAGAATGGGGCCCCCGCCCCCCCCGCAGCCCAGCGGGTGCCCCTCAAGGACCCCCCCACCACAGGGGACCCCCTCCGATGCCCTCCTGCTGCAGAGAGCCACCGGCCGGCCTCCCCCCGTGCCAGGTATTGGGGTGAAAAGAGGGGAAATTGGGTTAAAAAGGGATGGGGGCGGGGGGTCCACAATGTGACTCCCCCTTCCCTCCCCCCCCCAGCAGCAGGACGCGTCCCTGTGGAGCCCAACACCTTGGTGGCCCCCCAGTACCCGCTGTGAGTAATTTTGGGGGGGTCCCAGGGTGGTGGGGGGACACTGGGGGGACCCTTGGGTAGCATTTGGGACCCCCTGGGTGATGGGGGGCACTTGGGACCCCCTAGGTGACATTCGAGAGCCCCCTGGATGAGGGGGGGTATCAGGGGACCCCTGAATGGCCTTTGGGACCCCCCCCAGATAAAAGGGGGACACGAGGGGGTGCCCTTGGGTGGGACTTGGGACCCCCTGGGTGATGGGGGGGGGGCACTGGGGAGCTCCTGGGTTATGGGGACCCCTGAGGGGACATTGTGTGTGTGGGGGGGACACCCTATATTTGAGGGGGGATGTCACAGGGACCCCTTTAGGGACCCCAGCATCCCTAAGGTGACATCTTGGGGACCCCAAGGGGGACACGGGGTGGAGGGGGCATTGCGGGGACCCCTATGTTTGGGGGGGGGGGTCACGGGGACCCAATAATTGGGGTTATAGGGACCCAATGATTAGGATTACCCCTTTTGTGCACCCCAGGGCCCCTGAGGTGATCACCTTGGGGTCCCCAAAGAGGACCTCGGGGCCCTGGGGTGAAGGGGTCCCACCATCAATGCCTCCCCCCCCACCCCAGGCGCACGTTCACCATCGAGGACTTTGAGGTGGGGCGGCCGTTGGGCAAGGGCAAGTTCGGGAACGTTTACCTGGCGCGGGAGCGTGCGTCCCACTTCGTGGTGGCCCTAAAGGTCCTCTTCAAGTCCCAGATGGAGAAGGAGGGCGTGGAGCACCAGCTGCGCAGGGAGATCGAGATCCAGGCCCACCTGCGGTGAGGGGGGGGCTATAGGGGACATATAGGGGGTCTATAGGGATGTATAGAGTCATACAGGGGCTGTATGGGGACATATGTGGGTTATCTGGGGATATTTAGAGACATATCGGGGTGTCTATGGGGACACGATGGGTGCAGGGAGCACCAGCTGCGGCAGGAGATGGAGAT